CTCCTCGTTATTATGTCCTTCCCCTAATTAGTTGGTTCCCTTTTGTTCATGAAATTATTGCCCGTATTCCATCCTCATTATGTCCGATTCCTTTTGTCCAAAGACCGTTTTTCCTCCTCATGAATTGGTTGCCTTGTCGTTATCCAACAAAATATGTACGATGAAGTTGAAAAGTCCGAACTGTGGAGCAGATGCTTGCCCCGTGATTTGTGCTCACCCGCTTGGCCAAGTAGCTAGGCTTCTTATGCGGTGTTGTAGTACATGTCAATCTCCTTGATCTTGAAGATAGCATCGGTGGCGGGGGGGCCGGCGCTCCAGCCCTTGTCGCCGTTGGCCCAGTTGTTGAAGACCCAAGGGCCGGCCTGCGAGGGCACGCTCTGGGTGGTCTGCCAGGTCTGGATGCCGTCGACGAAGAAGCGAACGACGCCGGGCATCCAGTCGATGCGGTACTCGTGCTCCGTGGTGGTCGGGTTGGTGGGGGGCAGGACGGAGAGCCAGGACTTTAGGGAGGTCTTGCTCGTGGCCTGGTTCGCGAACCAGACCTGGCGCTTGCCGGCGTTGCTCTGGGAGTTTGCGTCTGAGAGCCACTCGATGTCCGTCTCTTGGTTGTCGTTCTTGTAGAAGAAGATACCTGTTGATGTTGTGTTAGTCTCGAAGAGCGTTGATGATGATGATGGGAATATTTGTTGAAGGGGGGCTTACCATTGCAGACACCAGCGGGCTCGGAGAAGACGGCGACGGTCCGGACAGAGGCGTACTTGATGTTCTGGGCCACAGTGACGACCTCGCCAGACTTGTAGGGCTTGGCCTTTTGGCCGCCGTCGACCTTGAGGTTGAGGTAGCCGCCGTTGATGTAGGCGTTCTGCGTGACGAAGACGTGCGTGTCGCTGACAGGGTAGCCGCTCACGCGCAGGCCGTTGGGCACACTGGCGCCGTTGGCGAGCTTGCTGAAGTCCCAGTACAGCCTGTTGGCGAAGGACATGTTGCCGACGGTGAAGATGTTCTTGACGGCCGTGATCTTTGCCGAGCGCTGAGGCATCGGGGCGGGAGCCGCAGAGGCGCAGACGGCCAGGAGGGCTGTCACGACGAGGGAAGCACGGCGAGCCATTTTGGTGGGCGTTGTTGTCGATTAGATATTAGAGACCGATTATGAGGGGATTATTAGACCTTAGTAAAAAGGTTGTATTGGTCTTGGGCGATGGAGAGGAGGAGGAGGAGGATGTTGTTGTGTGTGAGAGAGTTGAGGCTGTCTGGTCTATCCAAAAACTTCATCATGGCATCCGGGACAGGACATTTACTTATAACATTCTGGACTTTGATGTTTCCTCTGTCTTTTCCCTTGCAAGAACATGATCTTGCTCTCTCACCCGTTGTTTTGCCCATATGCACTGCCGTTCTACACGCAGAACGGCATGCACCCCGCGTGGAGGACCTACCGAGACAGCCACGCTCGACGCTTGTCAAAGCCGCCGGTCTACGCCGCGACGGCCGTACGGGCCAGATTCTCACAAGCGCTTCGCGGCAGTGGCTTTCGGTGGCTTGATGGGGCTCTTTGGATGGGTCGGGTTCCCGGTTCGCCGGAAGAGGGCTGGTATAGATGTGATGGGCGGAGGGACTAACAGGATTTTCTCTTCACTCGCTCTCTTTACCGCGTCATGATAATCGATAGCTAGGCACAATGATGAGGACAAAATGCTCCTGGTGATGAGTCTCGGTTCGCTTGAGCGTGAGGTGCATAGAGCATTGTGAGAGTTATGAGGAGCGTGATAGATAATTGAAGAAGTTAGAAACATCCTTCACATAAACGCAACGGCTTCGTTGAAGTTTGTGATGACATTGACTACAGGAACAACTGTTAACGCCTACCACAGTATAATTGAGCGTCTCTACAGTGTTTTCCAAGCGCTTGGTAAGGTTATGGGGCAAGGTTGTCCAGGCCTCTGGGCTAAGCGGGACGTGGCGTCGCGTGTCTTTTGCTTGCGGCTCACGGCAATTGACATCCGTGCCTCTCTCTAGGTAGCCGCGGCCTATGCGGGTGCGACCTGAGCTTTGGGACGGGAATCCGATCACTGCTGAGCTACTACAGGCTATAGGAAGCGACGGCGGGATCGGTTCTGGGCTGGGCGTTCTTGTTTTCCTTCAGTGGTGTTGTTGATTTTGGTGGCGACCAAAAGCACAGCCAGCTTCGGAGTTGACAAGAAGCCAAGGCCACCTAGAGGTCAAGTCCATGACATGTAGGTTAGCGTTGAGCCTAAAGAGCCTAAAGAGCTTAAAGAGCTAGAGAGCTAAAGAACCCAAGGGGGATTGAACTCGTTCGTACCCCGTTTTTTCTGTCTTCGGCCGGGATCTGTATAGGCAAAGTATAGTGTCTTGGCTGCTGGTGAGCTGCTCGAGCGACCTTTTCTGAATCCGGTACCGTGGGCTACCGAATGCGGTTCTGCCAGCATCGCACGTCGTCAGCATCGTGAGGGGTTCAAAGAGAATCACCATGGCGGTTGAGAGAGGGGAGGGGTCTTTTACGAGGAACAAACGGGAGATGTCTCTGCCCACATGCCGTTGAGACATTCTCACTTTGATCTCTTCCCTCCCCCATGCCCACCGCCTCCTCGGAGAGATCCCACCGTGGTCGTTGAGACATTGGCACAAAAGACTGAGGGCAGTGTTCCTGGCTTGACAATAGAGGGCTCTTGGCCACACCGTCAGTCAACGCACATCCCGAAGTCGAGCGCCTCTGGACACTCTGGACCCTGCAGAAATTGATTGTCCTTCCCAGTGAGACACATTGGGGGTCTTCTTTTCCCGCTCTCGCCGGTGCGGCGTGAGCCCAGGTCCCCCTCCCTCCTTCGGTATGACATCATATAGAGGCGCAAGGAGGCTTTCCGACTAGAGGCACTCTGTATTAGCTCGCGGGATTGTCAACCCATTTTCGTTCCCTTCCGGATCTGCCATTGGGAAAATTTGTCCATGTGGGAGTAAGGAGATCTGCCGATGAACGGACTAGGAGAAGAAATCCAGACTCGGGTAGTGGGATAGGGAAGTGGGAAAGGTGTATTTTGCACTGGCTTTTACCCATCATGGAATATGCCGTTTGCTTGTTTTGTTATTCTCCCCGATCTGCGCTAGTTGACTTTGCAAAGCAAACGCTCCATCGGAGCGTTATGACGAAGTGCTTTCTCAACTGACTTAACGTGGTAGTCGACTTAACTTGTAAATCGTCGCTTGTCGCTTAGAGTAGATCGCATACTAAGGAAGAGATTTCATCCTGTTCCCGGCCGAATGGTAAATGGACGTGCTGGGCTAACGGCACTACATCCATTGACTACATGGGACGGCTCCATTCCTAACATCGGCCAGCTCAAAGTTTACTGCACAACCCGTCACTATCACAGATCTTCTCTTTAGGATCGTCCCTATCGATAATTGAAATCAACGTGAACAAGTGGATGCGGCAGTTGGTCGGTAGATCCAGTTCGAACTTAGTCCCTTATATATGTAATGTTCTCTCCGTCCAAAGTAGCGAAGTAGCGAAGTAGGTCCGTGACATGGCCCCGCCCTTCCGGCCGGCCCCGGGGGGCATGGTTCCAGGATCAGCGTCCATCCTGTCCATCCCCCGTCCATCCACCCATGTTGAACAATTTCCTTCCGCTCGAGCTCCAACAAAACCTTTGCGAACCAACAACTACCCAAACTCTAGAGCACAAACTTCACCGAGCTCAGTGGATTAAAGATCTCAGTTCGCCCGGGCAAGACGGTTGAGTCACAAGCACAACGAGCCCTCCGATATCGCTCTCGTTCATTGAAGCATCGCTGCGCCGGTCACCCGCAGATCACGAGTGCGATATCGGGATGCTTCTTCTCTAGAGTCTGGAGTCTGCAGAGTCACGAGTCGGAGAGCTTTGAGAAACCGTTGTGTAACTGTGAGGTAAAAGTATGCTTGTGTCGATACAGGAAACAGAAAAAAGACTGGTCATAACGGAAATCGTTACTCGGCGCCGAGGTGCACATGGCCACACGCCCACTCTTTCCTCGCCGATGGTTACACAGCATCGTGGGGACCCTCTCACACCTGTCTCTATCCACGCGTGCCAAGGGGACTTAAACACAAGCTCCTCGAAGCCACGGTCATGGTTTGTCGCTGTGGAATTTTGACTTCTGCGCCATTCCCTGCCTGCTGTAATGGAACCCGTGGGGGCCATCGGATTTCTTGATGGGTCAGACTTTCACGGCATAAGCGCAGCGCAACGCTGGAGTCCCGGCCGGCCGTGAGAGGTGTGCGCCTCGTAGAAACGCAGAGTGAGAGTGATAGAGAGAACTGGGCAGGCGACGGTGCGCTGCGGCTGATGAGTCGAGCAACATGACATGGACTCACCACATCACCCGGACCCTTCTTGGGATCGGAGGACAAGATCCTAGAGTCCACTTGGTAGCCATTGTTCAGCGCCCCTCTGCGGCTACCGGCATTGCATGGGTTGGTCCCTGAGGGTGCAAAGGAGTTCCGCATGCGGCCAAGTCACGCGACCTTGACTCATATTGATGTGATCTTGGCAATCTCCATTCATGGGCTAGAGTCTAGAGGTCACGACGCGTTCGAACGTTGCGGGCGCTGCTGTTGTAATGCGGTGTAACTATCTTTTTGGGTATGGATCTCATGGAGTCATCCGTACACAACGGATCAATGGACCGACACTATCAACAGTTTTGCCAAATTTTGTCACATTCGTCATTCTGAACCTTGATGGCTCCAGACCCTGATGGCTCAAGGTGTCTGCTACTTTAGGAATTTGCCGAAGCTTGTTTGATTACCATTCCATATCACAAACTCCAAGTGGGAATAGTACAGTAATAAGAATGGACAAACCAAAAAGACCAGCGCCAGACTCCTTCGACAGTACTACTATCTCATCCGCTTCCATCCCTGTTCGGTATCATCATTGACAGATCGGACTTTAGGCTAACAACCAAGAAACAGAATGAACCATACCGCCTGCAAAAAACCAAACTCATCTGTTGTAGTACGTCTGATGTTCCTGCCTCGTACTCATCTCCGCCCGGTCATCCGGGTCCGCACTGAGCTCCTGCGGCTCCTGCGGCGGCGGCTCGTGCCGCACCTCGGCCGCCGTCGGCTGCGGAGTCTTCTGGTCGCCCCTCGCCGGCGTGTACTCGGGCAGCGGCGGGCTCACCCCGGTAGCGACCTGCACCATGCTCACTTGCGGCATCCACATGTTGCCGTGGGCGTCGTACTGCGGCTGGTTCAGCAGCGTCGTCGTCTCGGGGAAGTACGCCTGCTGCGGCGGGTACGACACCGTTGACGATATGTTTGTGAGCGTCGTCGTCCCCGCGAGAGCCGCCGGTGTCGTTGTGTATGACGGCTCAGAGGGCAGCTCTACCGGCGGGCCCATGTGCGGCGGGACCGTGTGCGCGGACATTGGGTGCGGTGACTGCGGATGTGCGGAGAGGGGAGGGGGCGTGAATGGAGAGGGTCCGTATGGTGGTGAGTAAGGCGATGCCGCGGGTGGTGACCACGCCTCTGACATGCTCTGGGCGTGATATACATGGCTTGGTCCTGGTGGTGATGCTCCGGTGTGGAATCGGTCTGACCGGCGCTTACGGACCAGGAAGAAGCATCCCATGGCGATGGTGCCGACCAGAACTGCAGCTCCTATCGCGATGCCGATAATGGCACCCGTAGATAGGCCTCCTATGGAAGCCGGAGCGCCAGTACTACCGACATCTCTCGTCGGCGTGCGGCTCGGGATACTGGCTGTGAGCGTGATGAGGAGGCTGACGTCGGTGTAATCGAAACCAGCCGCCGGTGAAGTCTTTGTAGCGCCGCCATTGCCATTGCCTCCTACTACGGCAATGACTTCGTCCGGCACGGCGTACGTCGTCTTGTTGGGCTTGTACAGCTCCCAAACGACCTTGCCAGCATTCTGTTTTCCGAGGTCCGCGTTGTGAGTTCCCCATTGCCCGGGTGAATCGCAGTCCTGAGAGAGCGGAAACGTGCCTCCTGAGATGATCATCTGCGCACGGCCAGGGACGATATTGCAGGACATTGAGTGGTGGGGGTAGTCTCCTGTCCCGTTGCGGCCGATGGGGTACATCTTGATCCAGGTAAAGGTCGGGATTGAGAGGATGTAAAGATCGTCGAATCCCGCGCCCAGCACACCTGGAACGTTGGCGCCACCGTACATGTAGCTGGAAAACGTGTCAGATGGGTTGCGCATAGTGAGTGCGGACAAGAAGCAATGTACTCACATATTGTAGGATGACTGGTCTCCTGCCCAAGTTACGCCCGCGCAGAATCGTCGTCGCATTCCAGGAACATCACCTGAAGCTTTTTGCGTGTACCACTTGCTGCTGAGGACATCATATATGAATATCTGGTCCATGGGCTGGCCAACGGTGGAACTTCCATTGCCAGATAAATCCTGTACACCCCCAAAGTAGATGAGCATTCCGCCATCTCCAGCGGGGATGTAATGCAGGCTACCCTCGGCGCGTCGTACATTGTCAGGACTATGTAGCTGTTAGTCTGATGTGTACCCTCGCTTGACCAAGGTTTCTCTCCTTACCCAGTGTTGTTGGAAAAGCTATTGGTATCCATGGTATATCTCACCAAGCCAGTCGTTGCGACAGCCGGACCAGTGCCCCATCCAGGAACGGAGGCATTACTTAACCATCCGCCATAGTAATATGCCTCGCCGCGGGTATCGACAGATACTCCCGCGCCGTAGCTGACTTTTGATATCGAAGCTCCCGTGCGAGACGGGCCAAAAGAATCCCATTGGTTATTCAGGATATCATAGCCGTATAGGTTGAAGGGCATGGGCGATTCCCCCGCATTGCGTTCCCCGCCAAATAGATAGAGTCGTTTGTTGACACTGTCAGACCAAAGGGCACCGCCGGCGACATTAGGAATCGATCCATTCTTGGAAAGATTGGCGTAAAGGGGGGGCATGCCCGAGGCCGTAGACGAAGACAGATCTTGGTAGAGAAGCCATGTATCTAAATGCGATGTTAGTGAGAACTGGGAAGACGGGACTACAGCTGTGATTCAAGGAGTGACATACTTGAGTAGTTGGCGGGAAAAGATGAGAGTGGATTCCAATTCACGAGGCCGCCATCAATGAAGAGCTTGTTATCAACCACGGCGGTCTGGTGCCCAAAACGACGGCAAAAGTCGTTCACCGGATCATTTTGCGCCAAAGTTGATGTCGGGAGCAAGGAAAGAACCAGAGCCGTGAGCAAGGGGCTGGAGAATGCCATCCTGTACCGCGATCCGCGATCTGTGTTATCCTCCCGCCGGCGGTATGTCGATCCTGATCTATCCGCGTACCCGGCTCCTGGTGATACTCGACCCTCAGTCAGAGCGGATCGTGCGCATAGCGTGTAAAATTGAGCAAAGGGAGAAGAGAGCCGACCGATTGAGGGTCTATTGATCGAGATCTCCCACTTTGATGTATGTCTCGGGAGGTAGAGTGGGCTACTCGACGACTGTAAGGCAATGATCGTCCGGTCTGATGCCTTGGTCTAAACAGTGGAATTTAATAAAATTACGGAATTTCAAAAAAGGGAGAGATTGAAAAAATGAAAAGAAGGTAATGATGGCAGATCAGTCTTGACAGGACATTGACCGTCAGTTCATTCGAGGACGAAGGACGAAAGGAAAAGGAAAGCTCAAACAAAGAGGAGAACGGGGGGCCCTCTCGAAGAATGGGAAAGATAGAGAAAACAGAGTTTAGGCTTATCAACATATCGGGCTTGTTGACAAGCACCAGCGGCAGCGTCAGAGACATTTCTGATCTGCAGCGTCCGGACCAGGCCGGATCCAGACGAGTTGGCGGGGGCTCCGTTCCAGACCAGAGGCGGACGGGTGAGAGAGCTGGACTCCTAGTCCGAGGTCTGAAGCGCCACGCATCGAGATGGCTCGCTTTGCCACGCACCCGTTGCTCTGGCACTCTGGTCTCCTGATGAAGTTCAATCCAGAGGTAGAGCGGATGGTGCGCGAGTTTACGAAGCTTTGCGGTAACCCCAAGGTGGTTCTTTTGGTAGGCTTGCCTCTTGTGTTGGTTGCATTTTGATGATGAGTAAAGCACAGAATTTAGAAGGACCGCTTAGAGCGTGCTATCCTGTGTCAACATTATTAGCAGCCTTTGCCCTTGGCGAGACGGAGACAACTTACAGGTATCAACTGTGGTGAGTCAATTGTCGCCCGGCACGCCGGATTTACAGAAGAACCCCATGGCTTCTGCTGACATACAGCACAGATCCGTCATCTGCTCAAAATCGATGCAGAAGCATGGCGAAATGTAGCGTATCGGAGACAATGGAGAGTGGCAGCACCAACTTGACACGAACACGGCGGAGGATGTTATGTGGAGTTGGACGGAAGAGGGAAGCGCTTGAGCTTGGCTTGTCGTGATATGGACTGTAGACCCAATGGGATGGCAGAAATAGCGGGACTTGGTTCAGCTTGCCCGAGACTAGTCTCCTCTGGGTTGGAGACTTCAGCAAGCCACATGGCATTTGAGCCCGCGTTCGCATGCAGGCATGGCAGGGCTGAATGGGGAGGGGCGCTGTCGAAGGAGGCCTGCGGATTCGTATGTTAGCTAGGCGTCATGTGAGAACAGTGGTGCTGGCATACGACGAGTAAGTCGTCGATTAAAGCAGACGTAAAAGGTACGCGTCTTGGCTCACGTGGAGTGTATACAGCACAGTAATGATGTTCAATATTTGAGGTTGGAACTTCCACGGCGAGGATTGGTATAATCAGCACCGCTCCCCAATCTTGACGTTAGTCTGACTTCTCTCAGCCGATTGGTTATTTCTGCGATATACATTCATTGGTACCTGCTTCCTTCAGATAGCCCTAACTTTGTTCCGCCAAAACATGAGGTGCCCCATTTTTGGACGGGGGGTATAGTTTCGGGGCGGAAGCAACGCGATGTAACAACTCCCGTAACCGTTCTTTCAACCCTTCGTCCTCCGGATGGTGCTCCTCAACGACCTTGAAGGAAGCCGCGCTGTCCTCCCGTGAACTCTCTCCTAGGAGACGGCGAATAACCTCTCCAGAACGCTCCACATCTGGGAAGCGCCTCCTCTTGTCCCAGCATCGAATAAGTGCCTCGACTGCAGTCTTGACATCGGAGGCAGATGAGCCCTCTCCAACCCAGTGACCCTCTTTCAGTCCAAGCTTGAGATATCTAGACACTGCCGGTAGCTGAAATGCCTTGGCCGAGATGACCAAGCAGATACCACAGAGACTCGGGCTGACATGTAAACCGTGCTGTCTCTGGAGAGCAAAGATACTGTTGATAAAGGGAAGGAGGTCGACGAATGGCCGTAACCTGGGAGGTTTGACGAGGAGCCGAGACAATACGAAAGCAATATCTTGATCCGCGTTGTGAATCAGCTGAAATCCCTTCTCCCCATGCTGAAGTAGAAACTGCAGGTAGCGCTTCAGGCTCTGGAGGTCATCCAGTCGTCGAATAAATGCTCGAATTTCCCGTTGGCGCTTCAGTGGTAAAGAAGCCGTGGTGGGCCTTCGTTGGAGCAACCAGCTCAAGAAGTTCTTATCGTCTTGAAGCGTGGTCAATGGAATTGCGTTCTTCGAGGCAACCGACTTCAAATCACCCCAAGCATCATTCTGATGCGGCGTTTCCCCCGGTAGGCGATTCTGGGTTTGCGGACCAACTCGGGAGTCGCCTTTCAGAGCGGCCATCATGATGTCGAGATCTGTGACCTGCCAGTGTTGATACCAGGGATGACTGACGCTGACCTTGGCGAACTTTTCGCTATCGCGCTGGCGTTCATACTCAAAATGCTTGATCCGTTGCCACGTGGCGTCGACAATGGAGTTCTGCTCCCATTTCTTCCTCTGCGATTGCATCTCATTTTTATCGTACGACCGTACGATTGGGTTGTCCCAACTGTCCAGGTCAAGAACAACCTCTGGCACCTCGAAGGGCCGCCATGAGTATGGGACTAGCGGTTCTGCCGGTCTCTTCTTTTCGTGAACACGCGGCCGTTGTAGCCGAGCCAGCAATGGCGTTGTAGTGTGGAAGCAGGCAGTCGTTACACTTCTGCGAGGGACGCCTGCGGCTCTCAGTGGCAGCATGTCTGAGGTGTATGGCGATTCAGTCTCTGATAAGCTTCGGTGACCTTCAGAGGCTATTCGCGGACACGCGAGCGCTGTTCAGAAAAGTCGTCTGATCCTGGGGAGCCGCATACTGAGGGGGGGCGCGTCGAGGTAACCAGATGCAAGGGCATTCTCGGCGCAGGGGTGTTGGGGCAACGACAGGGATGGCCCGGCCGCACAGCCACGGGTGTTTCTTGCAGGAGTCCGTTACCCGTATGGATCCTGCGGGGGAACGGTGGTGGGTCGATCTATTCTTCCGACCTCCAGCCACAGAGGTCACAGACATCAGCCACATAGGCCGTAAAGGTGTGGCTGTGGTATGTTACCGGAGAAACGTCGGTCGAGTCGCACTTGAACATCCATTATCGTCCCCCAATGAAAGCCCACTTCTTCGTCACTTTACATCACATCACCATACAACCACCAAAATCATACATCGCGATCCCCGAAAAACCCACGTTTACACATCTTGCGACCGGAAACACCTTTGACGATACAAAACACATCCAGAATGCCTCCTGCTAAGAAGAGAAAGACGAATACGGGTACCGCCGCCAAGGAGGAAGCCCACACTGCAGCGCCAGCAAAGTCTGTCGCGCCTGAAGAGACCGAAGCAACAGAACCTAGCACGACCACGGAAACCGCATCCGCGACAGCAGAATCGGCAGCATCATCACAACCCACACCGGAAGATGCCGCGGCAAAATCACAGGACCGCATGGCGCGCTTCAAGGCCCTCAAAGCCCGCGCCAAGAACTCGTCCGACCAGAATTTGAAGGAGGCGACGCTCGAATCACAACGTCTCGCATCAGACCCCAGCCAGTTAACAGCGATCCACCGAAAGCAGGCCGTCGCTTCGCAAAAGCTTCTCAAAGCGGACATTGAAGATGCCGGCGGCGACTTTGAGCGGAAGCGCGCCTGGGACTGGACGATTGACGAGAGTGAGAAGTGGGACAAGCATGTAAAGAAAAAGGAGGCGCACCGCGACAACAACGCATTCCAAGACTACACTGCCGAAAGCAACAAGGTGTATAAGCGCCAGCTGAGGAATATTGCCCCCGACATGGAAAAGTACGAAAAGGACAAGATGGCGGCCATCGAGCGCGCCGCTGCCTCGGGCGGCCTCGACATTGTCGAGACTGAGGACGGAGAGCTCATCGCTGTGGATAAGGACGGATCTTTCTACTCGACAGCCGACTCAACCACATTCGCACAGAACAAGCCGGACAAGGCGGCAGTGGATCGGCTGGTGGAAGACCTCAGGAGGGCGGAGGCGAACAGACTCAAGAAGAGAAAGGACCGCATGGCGCAGAACGGCGACGACGGTGATGTGACGTACATCAACGAGAAGAACAAGCAGTTCAACCAGAAGCTGGCGCGCTTCTACAACAAGTACACTGCGGAGATTAGGGACAGTTTTGAGCGAGGAACCATGATTTGAGCGCTGGCGTTTGGGATAAATTGAGATGCCCTTGCATTCAGAGATTTGTTTAATGTACCTGCATAGTCCGGCTAGGGAATTAAAGAGTAGCGGTGTTGACCGTACATTCCTCCCAACTTTCATCTGATCGCTTCCTCCCGTTGCCAGAATATGCACCCGAAAAATACAGAGAGAAGCCCTTATACCCTCCCTCAAATCCATTTCCATCACCAGCCAGCAGGCGCCCGTCTAGGTCGACGGGTCAGGTCAAACTGGCTAGGTGGTGGAGTGGTCAATGGTCAACAATCTATACGCCAACCAGCCTACTCGACGACGGGCTTAGCGAGTACCCGAGTTCGAATCCCATCATGAGCACCAAGAAATGTAGCCACACCAGTGGTGAACTCTTTTCTCGTCTGTGGATTAATTGAATGCCCTTGCGATTTGGCCTACAGGAATGGAGGCCCTCAATTCGTGCTGGAGATCAAGGTTGGAGGATGGGTATTGGATCCACCTCAAGGCTTCGCATTGGGGGATGGTACAGTCTACGGCATATTACAAGTACAATTTTCCAACACATTAGAGCATGGTTTTCCTCCATCCCTTGGTTGCCAACTCCTCAAGCTCGGGAACCTCAATCGGGCCCTGAACCTTTACATCGTCAAGTGCTTCCACTACTGCCTCCGCAACGGTCTCAACTGGTAGAGGCTTCACGCCGCTCGCGCCCATGAACCCGCTCAACACGCCACCGGTCAGCCTGTTGAAGAGAGCACCCGCGCCCGTCATGGCGGCCAGGGGCAGCGTAAACTTCCTAGAGCTGTCGTACATGAAGGGCGGCCGCGGGAAGATGCCACGCATCCGCGGGAACTCGCTGGCGATGGTGCTCTCGGCCTCGCGCTTGGTGGTGATGTACCGCGCGGGCAGGACGGGCGCCCCTCCGGCGGCAGAGACGTAGACGAAGGCCTTTGCATCCTCGGCGTTGGCCTGCTTGGCGAGGGCGATGGCGCTGTCACGGTTCATGACCTCGTAGGAGAACTGGTCTTTCGGGTTGGGCGGCTTGAGGTCCGCCCCGGCGCCGCCCGGCTCGGCGGAAGTCTTTAGGGGGTCGACGCCGCGGTCTTTGACGGGGGCGAAGGCCTTTTGCAGGCCCGAGACGGGGGACTCCTGGCCCGAGACGACACCCTTGTAGTCTGCTTCGAGGAGGATGCCCATGCTGTGGACGACGAAGTCGGCGCCCTTGAGGAGAGGGGCGTAAGTTACTGGGCTGAGCATGTCGGCGCGCTCCCAGGAGACTTTGTGTGACCATTGGGGAGGGGATGGTGATGAGGTTACGGCGGACCATTTGGGCTCGCCTGAACGGCTGTGAAGAGAGACGTGTTAGCGGGGACGAAGGGAGAACATGAAAAAGGTTCACGAGGAGAATGAGTACCTGATGGATGTGACGTCCCAACCCCTGGCGACGGCATACTTGCAGATTCTCGATCCGAGAAAGCCGTTGCCGCCGCACACTACGAGCTTCTTCGCTACAGCTGAGGTTGACATGATGAGAGTGTGAGTGAGATGGACAGGACGATATGTGAGATAAGAGGTGACCCAAGCAACCAATTGGATGAGATTCAGCACCAAATGGAGGTGACAAAGTGCAGTGAGACGAAAGGCGAGAGTGAGCCGGATCGACGGTGATGGAGTCAATTGAAAGGCCGAACGGGTTCGGCGCTAGTTGATTGCCAGTTTTCTTCCGAAGGTGGTTCGATGCCGTTCCGGACGCGGATGGAAAGCTAAAAAAGTCATGAAATCATCACCCGTCCGGAAAGCTGCCCCAGCTACCCAGCTCCCCAGTTAAAACCTGCCAGGGGTCCTCCCTATGATGCAGGCTGAGGTGCTGCACCAGCTAAAGAGTTGCAGCTAGCTACAGGGGTTGGAGGGGCAGCTCTTTCCCCAAGCTCCCCATTGGCTCGAGGTTCGATGTGCGAGACTGTGGCTACACCTTCCACTGTTTCGATATTTGCTCAGGAACGGATATAGAGAGTTCTTTTTGAGGTACCTTCATACTGCTCAAACTTGAAGATGCACCGGAGATTACTACATATTCCAAGAAGCAGTGGAGATAACTCATAGAGAAGCTGCGATACTGTAAGATCATGAAGGCTGAATCATTCTATGTTCCTGTCGCCATTAGATGAGGAGCCTGCTACCTGGCTCAGTAGTGCTGACTCCATTACCCTCCACAAAAAGATCGGCTTTCGTTAGCCATATGTCTGAGCTGCTTCCTGTGTTTCACACTCACTGAGGTGATCAAGGTAGAATCATTTTGGAACCTCGAGGGGACTCGCTCAGTGCACAGCTCAAAGGGTCTCTTCGGCAGGGGCTGACCCGAAAGTCGGCCATTGTTGGCTGGTCCAGTGGGTGCCCCACTTCAAACTTTGGCGTAAGGCTGCCAACGCCAGGAACCATTTTCTTATCATTTTCTTGCCTTCTTAGCTTGCGGTCCATTTTCGACAACACCCATTTCTCCCCACTACATCCTCACAAACTTACTCACGCACTCTCATTGGGCATTGATCAGAACGCATCGCCATCACCCGAGCAACCTTTATCTAACCCATCAATATGGCGCCGCCCAGCAGCCTCGGCAAACGCGTAAAGGGTACACAGATTAAACGACCCTTCATTTACGGCACGACCGCCCGTCCCTTCGACCCCGAATCCAACCCCAAGCCGGAAGGCGTACCGGCAGACCACACCCATTCATGGGAGGTCTTTGTCAAGGCCATCGACGATATCGACATCACGTACTGGATTCGGAGAGTGCAGTTCAAGCTACACGAGTCCATTCCTAACCACGTTCGCAGTAAGTTGTCCTTTCACCGAGACCTGGCGCAATCGTGCACTTGCTGAATACACTAATCAGTGATCGACGGCGAGCCGGGCAAACCTTTCCTTATCCAAGAGACCGGATGGGGAGAGTTTGAAATCACCATCAAGATATACTACGCGACCGAGTCAGGAGAGAAACCTCAGACGCTGTACCACAACCTGCGTCTTCACCCGTACGGACGAACCGACGCCGAGAAGGAGCAGATGCTGCGACAGAACGACGGCGAGATCCGCGCTTGGGCCTACGACGAACAGCTTTTCAACGAGCCGTACGAAGCTTTTTACGAAGTGCTCACCTCTGGTGCTCATCCCAAGGGCCACCCTGTTGGCAAAGGAGGCAAAGGCAAGACCAAACCCATTCCGGCCTTGCCAGAGAAGACATCAAACGTCCAGGTGGCGTGGGAGCGCAGCGCACTGCTGCCCGCAGTCAACAAGCCTGGTCAGCCGTTCAGTCTCGAGACGGAGCAGATTGAGGTTAAGAAACTCAAGGAGGCCGAAACCACGGCCAAGGGAATGGCCAAGCAACAGCTGGAGATTCTCAAGGAGAAGGAGGCCCAGCTGGCTGCGCTAAAAGCGGAGAACGCTGCTGCTGCTACCGCCGGTTAGGAACCGCCCAGTGTAGCAGCTAGAAGACCTGCTCGTAAAGTAGTAGTCGCGTCCCATCTGCTTGCCTTGTCCAAGGACAAGGAGAAGCTCAAACGCGTCAAGGCAGAGTTGGAGCTCATTAGCCAGCGTATCTAGGAGCACGGAGTCTACCAGCCGTCTGACGACACGGTACTGACTCTGCGTCTGGCATTTCTATTGATATTGGATGCGGTTCTATTGCGAACTCGGTCTAACCTTGATTACTTCTGCGCAATGTACCGGGATCGACCCAGGCTGCGAGGCGGCGGCGATGATGCGGAAGACGATGAGATGGACTGTGGCAGCTCGCCCATTCGCCACCAACAGGAACCGTGCTTTGGAACACCGAGCCCTAGGCGTAACAACAACATGGATACCGCCATGACCGATGGCGAACAGCAGTGGCCAGCAGAGCCTCCTGAAGCCCCGAGATGGCATCGAGATGAGAATGACTATCGAAATAGGCCAGCGCAGACGTCAGCGGCTGGCGTTGCGGGCTCGACAAACCCTCATGTGGAGGTCAGCCATGGTCATGGAAATGGCACGCCAGACACCGGGCTGGGACAAACATATTGTCTCTTCCACTCAAACTACTCTGCGTCGGCACGCTCCCAATGTCGACTGGTACCAAACAGTAGCCTCGAAGAGATGTACAACTGCGGTAGCCAAGTCCAAGAGCCTGCCCCACCGACAAGGGTCGACGCAACCGCAGACACGATGTCGATGCATTCTCAGACGAGCAGGGACGAGCCAGATGTACAAATGTCGGATGATACTTTGAGCCAGTCCACGATACTGAGTCCTCCTCCGGCGGCCCCCGCTCCGAAGCTCGAAAAGCGGAAAGCATCGCCGGAAGCAGAGCTGCCTGAGAAGAAGAGGGCAAAGGACGGGGGTCCGGATGGTGGGTCGAACGGTGGACAGGGCTATCTCTGACAGCAAGGCTAGCACCAGGCATTCATACATACATATATTCATGACAGCGCAGTTGGCAGGGAGCCTTGCTTCGACTGTGGAGTTTTAAAGCGGTAAAAAAGCACGGTCTGGCGGTGAACAACAGTATATACCTCAAATGGAAGATGGAGCGGTGTGAACAACGAATGCATAGAAGATGGGAGTTTTTTGATTTCTTCAGACATGCCTAATTTGACATGCGTCTAAGCGCCGTGAAACTCGTCTTGTGAGCCAGGGCCTGAAAAGTAGTTTTGATCGCAAGTGACACAAAAAATGGATATCCACGATATTTCCGTCTTCCATCAAACAGCCTTCCTCCTCTTTTCAATCAAGCGTGATTTCCTAGCAAAGCCCAATTTCCTTCTTTCCCATGTGTTGTACACACCAGCTCTACCCATCCGATCCATCGAGGTATTCGGTGGGGATGATTCGCGATAAGATATTCAGAAATGACAAAGGAAAGAAATTTTGTGTTGGTTGATGTGTTCTGTATAAATCAGCCCGCCTCGTGGCGAGCTCTTGGGGTGTAGTATGCCGATGACTTTTATGACTCCGATGTAAAACAGCCTCCCTTTTTTCTCCTTAAAAGGGAATATAACTGTTTGGTCGTAGCGTCATCGTGTAAACTAGCGTGGTTGGTTGGCCTCTGTCTTCATCCCAACCCGAGAATCCAAAAAATATAATCAGAGTGAGGCCGTTTCTCTCTGATCCAATCCCATTCTTTTTGTATGATACCCGGTATCCCCCTTTGTTTCCCTTTCAAACGCCATGTGATATGTACACATTAACACTAATTGCAAAGTGAACGAATGGCTGTGCCATTGTCGTCCATGGTCAAAAAACCAAAAAAGAAAGTTGAGGAGTTGCCCCTAACGCCATGCGAGGAGGAAGTGATGGAACAGATGGAAAGGAGATGCAGTCCAGCAAAGTGGATGTATGGTGATTTTTGCACAATTTGTACAATCACCTGTGGTAAACAGGTGGTTTATGTTGATGCTTCGTAGGCTGGGGGCGGGACGTCTTCCCGCTCGTCCCAGAGGTTGGGGTGACGGCTCTTCTCATCGTAAACGCGGCGAGCGATTTCGCCAGCCATCTTCATGATCCAAGCCTGCTCATACACAGATGACGGCTCGGATGGTACACCTTCGCGCGACTTCTCCGCGGTGGCCTTCTCGTTCTGGGCACGGGGCGTAACAGCGGGTTCGGTTTCGCACGTGCTGTCCAGTTTGATAGACACACTAGATTCCTGGGGCGCCGTGTAAAAGTCCGGCTGCAAAGGAGGTCTAGAGGGTAGCCGTGTCCGCTCCAGAGGGCTGAATCGAACCTTGCTAGGGGTCGATTCTGCCAGGTTTGCCAGGGCTTCCTCCTCCTCGATATCTTCAGCGATGGAGCTGGTCATGAGAGGCTCAGTCGAGGGACCAGCGACAGACGCAGAGTCGGATGCCGTTTCCGAGAAAGTCTCGCTGCCCTCTGGAGTGTCGCCAACTTGACTCTTTGAGCGTCGGAGGTTGACCACTCTTGTCTTCTTCTTGCGGCCAGCGTACGACTTTGACCGGATCCCGGCACCCAAGGACAGACCAGTAGTAGCAGAGCTAAGGCTCACCATTGACGGTCTGGACGGGAGATGGCCATGAGCGGCGCTACCGGTATCGGAGAAAGTGTACGTGGTAGATGTTCCATGGAAGGAGTTGGTCTTGGACAAGCTAGGCGTTGCTGTCGGTGGCGTGCTAGTTGGCTCGGACACTGCGGGTCCAGTCCAGGCACGGAACACGACATCACGAATGCCCGGCGTGAACAGAGAGAATGTGCGGTGAGAGTCGTTCAGCGCAGCTAGTCTCAAGAGGTTCTTCTGGGAGAAGAGCGACTGGACTTCCGGGCCGCCTTCGAGAGATAGTGAGGAAACCTCGTTGGCGTCGAGAAGATTACCATTCGCATCGACGGGATCCAGAGGGGGGCTTGCCAAGGGGTCAACTTCGGCTTCCTCTTCGTCCTCCTTGGGTGCTTCCTCCTCCTTTGGCAGAGCATCGGGGCACCACAAGCGCAAAGACAACCTGTGGATGATGGCGGGGAGCTCGTCCATCATCAAATTCCTTAATTGGGACTCGATAGTGCGCTGTAGGTAATCGCGCACGAAGGGGATCGAATCAAAGGTCGAGGAGACCTTGAGCGACTCGAGCGGATCATTGCGGAAGACCAGGGTCAGCCCCTTTTGCCGTGAGAAGACTAGGATAATGAAGGCTGAAAGCTTGATCTCGGAGAGGGTTATTGACAGCGGAATAGTAAGACCCGACGCGGCGGCCAGTGGCTGCGGCGATGTGAACCCCGGCTTGGATGACAGGTAGGTGTTCATTGGATTTGCCTATTTGTTGATATATTAGCATTGCTATGGCGCACGTGCATTTTGGATGGCAGCCAAAGGTAGTAACATGGGACGCGGATCCCGGCCAGGTAATTTCGACTTCAATGCGAGCACGCGGGTATGGAAGAAATGTTTGGTGAGGGAAAAACAAACGCCAGGATGATCGGGGTAACGATAGCGGGAAGCATCTGAGAGGATAGAAAATGATCATGGTTGGTGAAATGACGATGTTTTCGGGGGGGGAAGCATCACTGGGTGCAGTCTCGGCTCTCCGATGGGGGTCCTAGGGCATTCCAGACACTGGTATGGAATCATGATCGCGACGCAGAATTGATCTGGCGCACTGCGATAATGACTGGAACGAGAATGGTCCCGAACTCGTGAATGTGATGTCGTGATACGGGCATTGGCGAGCTCATTGCGGCGGCGGCTGCGAACCCGAGCTTCGTCTCGGGAGTTTGCGTGCAGGGAGGCACCTGCGGGATAGCGAGGTGTGGGATAGGGAACGAAAAAAAAAAATGCGGCATACCTGAACCCTCGTTTTCAAGGTCAAGAAGGCATCGCCCGAGTAGCACATTTTGAAGATACCACGGAATCGATCCTCGGCAATGTCGCCAATCTCTAATATTTCCAATTCCGGGGGCACGGAGCCCAAGTTGAACTCGGTAACGAGGATATCATCGACGATAATCGGAGGCTTCGGGTTCTTGTTCAGAGCGGTCGTGAGCAGCTCTCGGGCGCGCTGGTAGAACTCTGCGTCGGCCGTGAGAGGCGACCAGTTGAAGTTGAAGGCCATGTTGAAATGGCTTTAGCTGCGGCCAACCATCGAAGGGCAAAGTGATGCAGGCCGGTCAGCCAAGGGTCGATAGGGAGAGTCGGATGAGTTGGTGATGTCAAGTACGATGCTTCGGGATCGATGACGAAAGGTTTGCGTCGATATCGGGTTCGAGGGCAGTACAAATAGTAGAACGGACTCGTTGAGGAGCAGGTGCAATTAGATGATAATGTCCGGGGAAGAAAGAGTTGGATGGTCTGGGGAGAAGGCGGAGAGAGAGTGAGGGTGGGAGGTGTCGGGATGTAGATCAAGCTTGTGGTGCTTGTTTGGGTCGTAGAGAGGTAATGGAGGTAGAGTGCGGTGCGCGGGAGGTGTGCGTTTTCCGGCGAATGACGCTGGTTGTTTGTACGGAGTGCCTAGGTAAGGTGCCTATCTCCTTCTCCTTCTTTCGCTGTTCGGGAAGCAGAGGGAATACTCGGAGCTAAGTGGTGCGTGCGGTGCCGGTGCAGCATTAGCGCGAATTTTTGCAAAATTTGTGACGGCTGTTTTTTTTTTTTCCTGCTGTTTCTCTTTGGCTGTGTTCTGACTGGGTGGATGACCAGGTGCTGTGACAGATGCGACTCCCCTTTGCTGGGGCCGGCTCCTGCGAGTGTCGCGTGTGGTGCGGGAAAGGGTCACTGGGTGGGGCCACCAAGAGGCAGGAGCGTGTGAGCATCCACTTGAGCGCGTCCCAGCTTCCAGTGGAAGGGTCGGGTGGGCACTACCTACCCAGTACCTCAAAGTACTCCTTTCAGCAGGTACCTAGCTACCTCCAATTCTTTCCACTGAGAGGACTCCCACTGCAACGGTCTGCAGCGTGACGGGCGCCCCCAAGCCACGGCCGGCTCCCGTTGAAAAAGGAGGAAGGAGTGACAGTGGGTCCGCCCTCTCAGTGCACTGCAGGACCCAAGAGTCAAGACTCCAGAGTTCGCTGCAACCTCGCCCTGCTTTTGCGTGGACACTCTGGATATTCACATCCACTGCCACACTGGACACCACCAACGACTAATGATATGCTATGCGCCCGATGTACCTAGCGTCGCTGGCCTGGTTGCTTCATTTGCATATCTGCGCGAAGTTGCAACTGAGCCGGACCTTCGCAGATTAGCGGTTATGCGAGCCACCCGAGGACCTCCAATTCCATCGGCCGCGCAAGGTACCTCACGGATACCGAATGCCATCTAAAGCCCCGAGGTACGGTACCAGTATCACGAATGACCAACGTGAACATCAAGAGATGCGCCAGCCGAAGCCTGCACCAAGCCACCGGAACCAAAAGACGGTGGACGATTTAGAGTTGTACCATCGTTTCCACAAGCGCGGCGAACCATCTGGGGAATCGAATCAAATCGAGTCTCGCAAAGAACTCTTCAGCAAGATCTGGGCTGGCCGACATTTCAGCCCTTTGGATCCCGCCCTGCCTTAGTCGGGGTTGAAAGCCCGCTTCCAAGGCGCCATTGCGTCTTTTTGCTCTCTGGCTGTTGGTCCGTTGCGTCCCGGGGCCCATCACGAGCGATGGCTTGTCAGCAAACATGGGACGATATCGAAAGACATGTGCTGGATGTGGTCCGACATCAGGATACTCTAATGCAAAAAGCATAACCTGGCAGCCAGAAACTCTAAGAATCACCAGAAGACCAGGAGCCTTGCTCTTCTATCCGTCCCTTTTGGGGGCATGCCCATGCATGAAGGCTGGATTTGGCAAACGAGATAACATGGTCTTATTCGATCCATCTGGAGCCATGCGACGAGGGAATCCGTCATATCAGCATCCACAATGATGCACCTCGGTTCACAGAGAGGCATGAACAATCCCAATGGAAAGTCTTGTCGCCGGGCCGGGCTGAGCAGGGTTGACTGGGCAGAAGATCATATCATCGCGGCGCTCGAATCGCTCTCGGGTCCAGCATCCTGTCCGATTTGCCGGTCAGTGCCCCCATCCCTGCCATGACTGATCTTACCTTGTTCTTGACTGCCTCTAATTATCAGGTTTACTTCCATTCTCTGGACTCTGGAGTCTGCCATCGCGTGTCTCCCGTCCAATGTCTCGTTCTCCTTGAACTTTCCCCTCCTTTTCTCCACGGACCTTGGGACCATCATTCCTTCAGCCCCAGCTCCTTGGACGCTTCTCCGCAATGCTCCGCTCTTCGGGGGAAAGGAGCCAACGAGCGACGCCAGCAAGGAAGAAAACGACGCATTGCGCCCTAGGCTTTCTGAGCCTCCAAAGTCCAACCTACCTAAGTATTCTATAGAGTGCCTTAGGTAAGCACGTGTAAGGTAACCAAAGGTCTCCCGCCGGGCGGGGTAGGCCCTGACACGAAGCGGGCAAGCCGCGAACCTGCCCATCCATTCACGCGCCGCATAGGCCAATTTTCGGTCCTGCTCCGGCTCAGTCCGGCCGAAGAATCGCGCGTCGCCAATGCTGCACCCAATCGTGCCCTCTTTCTTTTTCCCCTCTGGCTGCATTGAATCAGCATGGGGGGGGGGGGGGGGGGGTGTTTCTCTCAATCCG